TTGATTGGCTGCTTCCTGCACGCCCCTACCGGGGATTGAGCCCACAACCCAGGCATGTGCCCTTGACTGAAATCGAACCCGGGACCCTTCAGTCCCCAGGCTGATGCTCTATCCACTGAGCCAACCAGCTAGGGCGAAGTCTACAACTATTATTGTTGAGCATTTCTTCCAATTCTGTCATTTTTTGCTTCCCATATACTTTGGGGATGCGTAAATGTTTTAGGTGCGTATATGTTTTTAATTGTTAAATCTTCTTAATAAATTGATTTTTTTATCATGTAATGTTCTTCTTTGTCTATTGTAACAAGTTTTATGTTAACACCTGTTTTGTCTAATATTAGTATATCCACTCAATTTCTCTTTCAGTTTCTGTTTTCATGGACTCTTTTTCTTTTCCTTCACTTTCAACCTCTTTGTGTCCTTGGATCTAAAGTGAGTCTGTTGGATATAGTTGGCTCATGTTTCTTTTTTCCATTCTCCCCATCTCTGCCTTTTAATTGAAAAGTTTAATCCATTTAAATTTAATGTAATTATTGATAAGAAAGGATCTTTGCCATTTTGCTATTTGTTTTTTACATGTCTTATGTCAACTTTGTTCTTTAAGTCCTCCATATTGACTTTTGTGTTACATAAATATTTTCTGGTATTTTCTTTTTATTTCTATTACTATACAATTTTTAGTTATTTTCTTAGTATTTGCCTGGGGGATATATAATTAACCTCTTAACTTTTAAGAATCTATTTCAAATTAATAACTTAGTTTCAATAGTATACAAAGTACTTTGCTCTTATATGTCTGTCCCCCTACTTTATGTTGTTGTTATCACAAATTACATCTTTATACATTATACTAGAGGCCCAGTTCATGAAATTCATGCATGGGTGCGGTCCCTAGGCCTGGCTGGCAATTGAAGTGCGAGCATCTGGTGTGGAAGGGCCCCTGTGCACCCCCCCTCCACCTGAGTCACGACGCCCGAGTCACCATGCGGAGATGCAATGAGCGCAGCCAGACACCGCGGGCCAGGGCACAGTGTGGGTCTCTGGGCCGCCTAGCGGCGCCACACGGAAGCCAGGCTGGCAGCGCTCACTCTCCTGGCCGGCCTTGCAGACCACGGGGAGCCCGAACAGTCCCTGCAGTCCCGGCGGCTGTGGCCCGGCTTACCCGGAAGAGGGCACGCGAGTGCAGGCAGGCTTCTCGCGGGCACCTGGCACCTGAGCATGGGGGCTTCCCCGGCGCACGAGCCCTGGCGTCCTGGGGGAGGGTAGCAAGGAGAGTGAGAGTGAGCTTGGTGGACACCCCACATTCTCACCGCACCTCCATCCCTGTCACCCCCACCCCCAGGTAGCTGGTAAGAGGTCGCAGCCCCCACGTCATAGTGAGCAGTCGAACTCCCAGTCGAACAACCACCTGAGGGGACAATTTGCATATTAGGCTTTTATTATATAGGATGCCCAACATAGATTTGTAATTGTTTATGTAGTTGTCTTTCAAATTATATATGAAAAAAAGGAATTACAAACCAAAATACAAACTCCTTCCTTTTTCCTTAAACACTTTATAATATAGTGCTTCTATTATGCTTCAGCTACTATTCTAAACACTTTGCAAATATTTAATAATCTTAAACTTTTGAGATCAAAATAATTTTATAGCCAAGGAAGATGAGGCATAAAGAAGACAAATAACTTGCCCAAAGCCATACAACTATTAAAAGGCAAAGTCAGAAATTTGAACCCAAATAGTCTGGCTCCAGAATCCATGCTCTTAACCACTAGTCTCTTTACTTTGTAGAGTACTAGGGTTTCTTCTATTACATTACAACATTGAGTGTAAAATTCAGTTGGATACATAAAACATACACATTCATGTTTAAAATTCAGACAGATAAAGTGAAGGATATTGGAAGTCAATTGAGAGGAAATATAATAGTCAGAAGGGACTTTTGATCTGTGGCTTTGAAGACCAAGCAGGATCAAGAGTCAAGATTTGTGAGAAGGACATTTTAAGGGGAAGGAACAGGGTGAGGAGAAGAATCAAGAAAAGGAAAATCAAGTTATAGTCAAGAAACAGAATAGTGTGAGTTGAATGTAGTTGAAGGCTATTGGAAGAGAGATTGTTGAAAAGGTTCACTTTTGGAAGGATTTAAATGCCAGACCTCATAGTTTAGATTTTATTCTGCAGAGAGTAGGTAATCATTGAAAACTATTAAGAATTTACTTAAAAAAAAAAAAGAATTTACTTTATATGTAAGTATGTATATAAATCAGAAGACTAACTCAAACTTTGGTGTAATTTAAATATTTCTAAAAAAGCTGAAGCTTATTCTAGTGGGAGCCAGATTGAAGTTTGTTCTTTTTTTTTTTTTTACATATATTCTATTGATTTTTAAAAAAAGTATATTTTATTGATTTTTTTTACAGAGAGGAAGGGAGAGGGATAGAGAGTTAGAAACATTATGAGAGAGAAACATCAATCAGCTGCCTCCTGCACACTCCCTACTGGGGATGTGCCCGCAACCAAGGTACATGCCCTTGACCGGAATCGAACCTGGGACCCTTTGGTCTGCAGGCTGATGCTCTATCCACTGAGCCAAACCGGTTAGGGCTATTTTATTGATTTTTTTACAGAGAAGAAGGGAGAGAGATAGAGAGTTAGAAACATGGATGAGAGAGAAACATCGATCAGCTGCCTCCTGCACGCCCCCTACTGGGGATGTGCCCACAGCCAAGGTACATGCCCTTGACCGGAATCGAACCTGGGACTCTTGAGTCCGCAGGCCAACGCTCTATCCACTGAGCCAAACCGGTTAGGGCTTGAAATTTGTTCTTTTGTACAGCCATATATTAAACTATGTTGGAGGCATGTTATAAAATAATGATTTTAATAATGTAAATTAGATATAGTTAAAGAAATGTGTTTATTATATACAAAATGATGTGCTTCCTTTCAAAAGCATCGCTTGTATGAGGTTGGGGGGTATGATTTACATTTAAATTACTTACCCTCTATCTATCTATATATATAAAAGCCTAATATGCAAATTGTTTCCTCGGGAGTTCGACTGGGAGACTGGGAGTTCAATTGCTCGCTATGACGTACGCTGACCACCAGGGGGCGGCGCAGAACAAAGGGAGGCCCTGGCTGGCAGCTGGAAGGCCCCGATCGGCCCTGATTGCTGGCCAGGCCTAGGAATTCGTGCTGGCCTACCTGTGCACGAATTCTGCTCACCGGGCCTCTAGTATACAATAATGCAGATCAGCTAGTAATTTTTGAGTGCTTACAACCAAGTTTTTTGCCAGATGCAAAATAAGACCTGGTCATATTTTCAGTCTTTTTCTTCCTAATTGGTAAACATTGCAATGCTCCAGTATTCAGTCTTCTACCCTCCTCTCCTTTTTATCTGCTTTTATTAACGGAATACAATCTCATCTAGTTGTAAGGCTTTATTTTACCTCTCTTTGATGATTTCTAGTTTTATATCACTGATCCGGTATCTCCTTTTAACTTCAGATTCACCTATCCAATTGCCTCCTACATATATCCACGTTGATTTCTGAGATATGTCAGACTTAACGTGTTCAAAACTGAACTAGATAGATCTCTGTTAAACCTTTCTCCTCCAGTCTTCTCTATCTTAGAAAGTTATATTACCATATACCCATTTCTCAGACCAAAAGCCCAAGTATTGCTTTCAGCTCCTTTCCCTCACATTCCACATTTAGAGCATCACCAAACAAGTTGGTTTTATCTTCAAAATATACTCTATATCCAGCCACTACTCTCTACCTCCATTACTGCCACACCAGTTCAAGTTACCAGTATCTCTTGCTAGAGCTGTTATAATATAATAGTCTCCTAATAATGCTTTCCTCATAATTAGTTATCCATATATTCACCTGGAAATCTCAAATAATATAAATCTGATCATATTACCTCCACTACCACCTAAATGTAAACCCAGTGGATCTCTATTAAATTCACAATCCAATCTCCTCACTATGATCTTGTCTCTAGATCTCTGATCTTATCTCCTACTTTTAATCTTAGTTATTTGCTCAGATCATACCAACTTTCTTGCTGTTTCTCAAATATACCATACTTCACACTATGTATTGCTTTAGTGTTGTTCCCTCTACCTAGAATGTTCCTGTCCTGGATACCTACATGGTTTGCTTCCTCACTTCATTCAGTATCCAAAATGTTGCCTCCTAGAATCTTTTTCGGGCCTTAAAAATTCTCCTTACTCTGTCCCTACCCAGCAGTTCTCAGAGTTACCAGTCAGAGTTTATCAGGGTTTGTTTGTTATCCCCCTACTCTGCTATATTCTTCTTTGACTACTACTTCTGCTTATCCTTATCGCACATTTATCATCATCCTTATTATTTGTATCATTTCTCTCCCCTGCCATAAAGTTTACAAGATAGGGACTTTTGTCTGTGTTATTCATAGCTGCATTCCTAGTGCCTGACTCATAGTAGACACAATATCTGGTCCACCAAGGAAAAGAGTCTTAGAAACAATAGAAATTCTTTTTGCTTCATTAATCTAAAAAACAAAACAAATCAAAAAGGCAAAAGAAACTTCTGGTCTCTTACATTGTATTGCATTTTTAGTGTCTTTGAGAAAATATAATAAAAGGACATTATGAATTCAGTAATGCTTTTAAAAGAAACATGTATTTTGTTCACAGCATAATGCGTTCAGTAGAGTAGTGGTTGTATATGCAAGCACATTTTTACTTAATTTACAAACAGTGCTCATATGGATTTACTGACCTTGTAATGACTTGAGTTCCTCTAAGGAATTTTGGCCCATAGATTGTGACTCCTGGTGTAATTGACTCATTTCTAATCAACTTTAGATTTGCATTTAAATGGCTTCTTTTTAGCATAATTACTCTGCTGAAGACAGTTTGATATCACTGGAAAAATGAACCAAAACTGCCCTTGGATTTCCAAAGAACTAAATTAATCTGACCTAGCTATTTACTATTTGTATGATTTTGGTTACTTAACATCTTAGAACCTCATTTATGGAATTAGGTATGTAGATATAATTATATTAAATTATTTTCGTAATGTTCCAGCTGTTCAATACATATTTCTTTTTCTTCTTAATCTATTAATGTCACTGTTATATAGGACTTCATCTTTCCTTTATTTCTGTCTTTGCTGTGGTTACAGCTATGCGCGTGCACACACACACACACACACACACACAAAAGTGTCCTGTCATCTCTGGTGATGGGCCAGCAAAGCAAGCCATTAATTATGTTCTGGTTTTAGTTCATAGATACAGGAAACTTGGTTGAGCTGGAGCAGAAAACCATCCTTTTTCTATCAGATATCAATTACACTTCTGTTTTATTTCTATTTCTGTGGGTCTTCAACATGCCAGATACACAAAATGGAGTCATTGTGGAATTTCAAACCACTCAGGTAAATATAAGGATCTATTCATCAAACAAACAGTATTGACTGCAGTTTAAGGAACAGGCTGATGTTAAGAAAAAGATGAATAGACTCTATTTATTTGCTCAAAATCTAGTGGATAAAATGCCCCCAAAATTTTAGTTTATAAGCAGTGCAACTTCAGCATTGATGATGATGTTCCTAACTTTGCCTGGGGTTTGTGGGATGAGATAAAGCAGCGGTTCTCAACCTGTGGGTCGCGACCCCTTTGGCGGTTGAACGACCCTTTCACAGGGGTCGCCTAAGACCATCCTGCATATCAGATATTTACATTACGGTTCATAACAGTAGCAAAATTACAGTTATGAAGTAGCAACGAAAATAATTTTATGGTTGGGTCACAACATGAGAAACTGTATTTAAAGGGCCAGAAGGTTGAGAACCACTGAGATAAAGGATGCCTTAGAATTAAGTAGATTGAGGCTTGCAGGAAAACATTCTAGTCAGAGGACATGCTATGCTTAAAAAGCATGGAAGTATTGATATGTATGTAATGACTAGAGGCCCAGTGCATGAAATTTGTGCATGGGTAGGGTCCCTAGCGGCTGCCGGCTGGGGCTTCCCTTCGTTCTGCGCTGCCACCAGGTTGTCAGCACACATCATAGCAAGTAATCGAACTCCCGGTCGGTTGAACTCCTGAGGGGACACTTTGCATATTAGGCTTTTATGTATATAGAAGATTAATCAGTCTCGCCAGAGCATAGTTTATGTGACAGAAAATAGGGGTAGGGGAGACTGTAAAAGTAGTTTGGAACTAAGAGAGAACTCAGTGATCTTGCATGTCATCCAGGAATGTGAAGTTTTCAATATTGTCAGTGGAAAGCCATCAAAAGTTTTGGCAGGGCAATATTCCATTACTTGGATATATTATATTTTACTTATCCTAGATTGCTTCTTAATACAAAATAATTAAAAATTTAGTTCTCTTAAATCACTCCTATACTTCATTCTTTGTTAAAGAAAAAAAAAAGTAAGTGAACCAAGCTATCATAACTTAGAAAAAGAATAACAGGCCCACCCGGAGTGGCTCAGTGGTTGAGCATTGATCTATGAACCAGGAGGTTAGAGTTCAATTCCCGGTCAGGAGACATGCCCTGGTTCCAGGCTTGATTCTCAGTAGGGGGCGTGTAGGAGGCAGCCAATCAATGATTCTCATCATTGATGTTTATATCTCTCTCCCTCTTCCTTCCTCTTTGAAATAAATAAAAAAATATTTTTAAAAAAAGAATAACAGAATAAATCCAAAGAAAATAAAAAGATAATGAAACTTAGAATGAAAATTAATGAACCAGAAAACAAAGATATGATAAAGAAGATGAAAAAAAAAACAGTCAAAAGTGGATTTTTTTGGGGAAAATAAAACCTTAGAAAACAAACCTGGCAAGATTGATCAAGATTGATTAAAAAACACACAAATAGTATTACCAAAATGAAGATTATAACTATAGGTTAAAGAGATTTAGGAAATACAGGATTTAGATAGAGGTCTGGCTTTGGATGGGTTAGTTTGGGTATCAAAAGATAAGGGATTTATAGCAGCATTATTTACAATAGCCAGAAGTGGTAGGCAATCCAAATGTCCATCCGTGGATGAATGGATAAGCAAAATTTGATGCATGCATCAATGGAATATTATTCAGCCTTTAAAAAAAGGATATCCTGCCCTAGTCAGTTTGGCTCAGTGGATGGAGCATCAGCCCATGGACTGAAGGGTCCCAGGTTTGATTCCTGTCAAGGATGGACTGAAGGGTCCCCAGGTTTGATTCCTGTCAAGGGCACATACCTCTATCCCTGGCCCTAGTCGGGGTGAGTGCAGGAGGCAACCAATCAATGTGTGTCTCTCATATGTGTTTTCTCTCTCTCTCTCTCTCTCTCTCTCTCTCTCTCTCTCTCTCTCCCCCTCTCCCTCTCCCTCCCTCCCTCCCTTCTACTCTCTCTAAGAATCAATGGGAAAAATATCCTCAGGTGAGGATTAACAAACAAACAACAACAAAAAGGGAAGGGCATGCTACAGCGTGGATAAACCTTGAGGACATTATGCTAAGTGAAATAAGCCAGTCACTAAATGACAATACTGTATGATTTCTATTTAAGAGGTACTTAGAGCAGTTACATTCACAGAAATGGGAAGTAGAATGATTGTTGGTGAGGCGGCTCATGGGAAGAATAGAGAATTATTGTTTAATGGGTATAGAGTTTCAATTTTGCAAGTTGAAAAAAGTTCTGGTGATGGTGCAATGTAAATAGTATATTTAATGGTACATTTAAAATGGTATATTTCATATTATGTATATTTTACCACTATTTAAAAAAAGACAAGGGAAACTACTATCAACAACCATATACCAATAATTTTGAAATTCAAGAAAAATAACACTTGCCAAAGATCAACTCAAGAAGGAATAAAAAGTTTTAATTGTTCTGTAAGTATTAAATAAATTTAATAGTTAAAACTCTTCTCTCGAAGAAAATAACCCCAGATGGTTTTGCATGTGAGTTCAACCCATCTTTTAAGAAAGAGAGAGCATCCCAAGTCTTTCTAGGAGGCTAGATGCCAAACCCAAACAGAAATAAAAGGTAAAAATGATAGGTCCATTCCACTCATGAAATAGATTACCCCTTTAGTAATAGAAAAATTCTTTTTCATTTTGTTTTATGCTTTTATCTTTGAATTTTTCTTTGATATTCATTGCCACCTATTCTTTTTTTTCTACATTTTTCTTTGCCTGTCTCTATAATTTCAACATATCTGAGTCACTTTTATAAACCACATATTGTTTAGCCCTATCTGACAATTTTCTCTCTTTTACTTAGTTAATTCCGTCAGTTCACATATAACATACATGTTTGGTATTATTCCTGAAATTTTTTTGTTTTTTCTATTTAGTATGCCTGCTTTTTGTTTAATTTTATTTTATAGTTGACCATTTTTACTGTTATATCCTCTGGTGATTTAAAAATTCTTCTACCTACAAGCCCCCCCGCCCCCCAAATTTCTTCTACTTTACCCATACATTTTAAGCCTACATTTTCTTATCAGTAAAAAAAATCTCTATATATAAAAGGCTAGCCCTAACTGGTTTGGCTCAGTGGATAGTGTGTCGGCCTGCAGACTGAAAGGTCCCAGGTTCGATTCTGGTCAAGGGCATGTACCTTGGTTGTGGGCACATCCCCAGTAGGAGGTGTGCAGGAGGCAGCTGATCGATGTTTCTTTCTCATCGATGTTTCTAACTCTCTATCCCTCTCCTTCCTCTCTGTAAAAAATCAATAAAAATATTTTTTTAAAAAAAGGCTAAGTGACAGACCATCCGTCTGACTGACCGGCTGGCCAGCACATATGATGCGCACTGGCATTTGACGCGCACTGGCAATTTAAAAGTAAACGTTGACTCGCACATGCGCAATACATATAAATCTCTCACTGGTGCCAATCACATGTGATGCCAGAATGTAAATGGAGTCTTTGTAATGGTACTGTATTTATTATCAAAAGATTGCGACCTAACATAATCAAAGCTGAAGTATTAACAGGATCTGCAGAAGGAGAGGTTGTTCTGATTCCAAGAATTAGTTTGTTCCCATCTGACACTGGCTTCCCATTTAAATTAATTCGAAGACAGTTTCCCATAATGCCAGCATTTGTGATGACTATTCGTAAATCGTAAGGACAAACTCTAGACAGAGTAGGAATATTCCTACCTGAACCCGTTTTCGGACATGGTCAGTTATATGTTGCTTTCTCTCGGAAGAGTGTGGTGTGTGACGTTAAAGTTGTAAATACTTCATCGCAAGGGAAATTAGTCAAGCACTCTGAAAGTGTTTTTACTCTTAATGTGGTGTACAGGGAGATATTAGAATAAGTTTAATCAATTTATCAGTCATTGTTTTTATCAATGTTTTTATATCATGTTTTGTTTTTATATCACATTTTGTTTTTATATCATGTCTGTTATGTTGTTTATTAATCAATTTATCAATCATTGTTTTTATCAATGTTTTTATATCATGTTTTTATTTTTATATCATGTTATTGTTTATTAACCAATTTATATATTATTTTCATATACATTTTACTAATTTTCTTTCATCTCTGACACTTCTATTATAGAGAAGGGCGAATAAATATTTTGTATTTTAATTTTATAATACTACTAGAGGCCCGGTGCACAGGATTTGTGCACTGGTGGGGGGCATGGCCTGTGGGGATCAGCCCACTTGGGAGTGCTGCTCATCCCGGTCAGCTGAGCGGTGCTCCCACTGTGGGAGTGCACTGACCACCAGGAAGCAGCTCCTGCGTTGTCTGCCCCCTAGTGGTCAGTGCGCGTCATAGCGACTGGTCGAGCAGTTGTTCTGATCGTTCCACCATTCGGTCACTGGGCTTTTATTATATAGGATATTATATATACTACTAGAGGCCTGGTGCACGGATTCGTGCACTGGTGGGGTCCCTTGGCCTGGCCTGCGGGGATTGGGCCGAAACCGGCTCTCTGACATCCCCCGAGGGGTCCCAGATTGTGAGAGGGCGCAGGATAGGCTGAGGTACCCCACTGGTGCACAATTGGGGCCGGGGAGGGACCACTGGAGGGCTCCAGGGAGAGTCTGGCCCGTCTCGCCCAGTCCTGATAGGCCAGATCCCAGCAGCAAGCTAACCTACCGGTTGGAGCGTCTGCCCCCTGGTGGTCAATTCGTGTCATAGCGACCGGGCAAACGAACGGTCAGACACTTAAGCATATTAGGCTTTTATTATATAGGATAGTTATTATATAGGATGTAATTTTTTTGTAGTAACATAATTACTGCACGAATTTTTCTTCTAATTAATTTCCTTTCAGTGTGCACAAATCCATGCACTGGGCCACTAGTTGATATAATAATTTTATGAGTATTACAGATTGCTCCCTCCACAAACACTTGATCTTAATTTAACATATTTTACTCTACTTCACCGAAGATTTTGTTGTAATAAT